CCTGAATAGACTGTGTAATGTCTGTTATTAAGTGACTAGCATTGAATCCTGCTGACTTTGGCAAACCTCCATTTCGTGTGGTTTTTGATTGTCTTTACGTGAGATGTTTGAATGAAATTTGGTTCATGACTGTCACTACTATTAGACTTTCAGACTGTAGCTTTAGATTCTTACCAAAACAGCAAAAACCTCAGCCACAAGTGAGACTGAACTTTCCAACAAACTAGTGAACTCAGTAGGCATTAACAAACATACTTCTCTTTTGCATTTACCACCCCAATATCAAAATTTTTGAGATGCAGTACAAAAGGTAAATGAAAAGATACAGAAATGATTTGCAAATGTCATAAACTGAAAAATATACAATTTTAGGATTTTTTTTTTTAATTTGATGCTAGCGACACATCTGAAAGAAGTTGACAAGGAAAGAGTCATCCTTTCTACTAGCATCCCTTCTTATATATTAGAATTGAAGAAATCAGGTGCTGGACCTTTGGGACAGCCACCCTGTGGAATAGGCTTTTAGTTGCGCAAAGCCTTCCCATGATGTGTCAGATGTTAGTGAGCGAGGACCCAAAATGCAGACTCCGGGAAGCAGAGGGAGCTAAACAAAACAAGAGCTGGTGATTTCAACTGATAGACAGACACAAATTAAATAATAAATTTTTTTTATATTTGCGGTTCTATTTCTTACAGGAGCATGTGTAACAGAAAACAATACCTCATCTCATTATTATTATTTTTGCTGTGTATGGTAAAGATCAATATAGACTATCCAGTCACTTATACACTGCAATCCAGAGTGTAATTAAAGAAATATTATATAAATAATACATAAATATCTTATTCGAATGGTTACTGTCATGAGTGAAAGTTAGAAAGTCAGCCACTGGAGTTTGAGCTCCATTCACTCATATCAGCAAGGAGAGACAATGTACTGTAAATTCACTAAGATCAAACGGCCTCTGTTTTAATATTCAGCTATGACTCCATCTGTTCTCTGTTGTTTCATAGAAAATGTTATTTACTGCATTAACTGACTTCATGGTCAGTATATAACGTTACTCATATACTGCACTGACATAAGGAATATATTTATACCTGAAAATTAAATGTTAGAAAAACAAATTAATTAATTAGAGGCGACCTACTTCTTAACTGTTTTTTTTTTAAATTCTCACTGATGCTTCTGGTGTGAATCTCTCATTAAGAACAGCAGGAGGTTCGCTATGACAAAAACTCCAGACCCTGAGTAAAACATCATGCCCATTATTATGATATGGCAATAGCCAAACTGGCCATCAGGTGTCACTTTGGAGATTTCAGATTGAGGAAAAAAGATGAATGAAGCAAAACCAGAAGCAAAACATAAGGAACACAAACTCTCAAAATAAAACAGGAAGTGAGATATCACAGAAGACACATAAATGAACTTAATAAAAGGAAGACGACACAAAGCATGGAAGACTAAAGGAGGAATCAAACTAATAGAAGTGGGAATTAGGAATAGAAGTAAATGTGAACACTAAACAAAAAAAGGATTCAAACAGATACTTAAGCCAAGGTTAAAGTCGGATGCAGACATGGACAACCGGAGACCCAAAGGCCCAGTTATTATTCTGTGTTAAACTTCTTTGATGTCTGCTCGACGTCTACCACCAGGTGCAATACCATAGAAATTCTTTTTGGATAAGTTAGCTCCGTTAAAAAAAAAAGAAATCTGTACCTTGGCACAAAACCTTGCTCTAACCATCTGATGACAAACTTTACGGCACTGGGATCCGAATGAGCCCCAAGCAGATTTGTATGTGTGGAAAGTATAACCTTTTCTTTATTTTCAGGGCAAGAAATCCCAGAAGAAGATGGACAAGGCGATGACATCATTGTCAAGGAAAATGCATGTTACTCTTTGATAAGAGTAACATGCATTGCTTCACAAAAGAAAAATGTTTGTGGAGCTCATCAAGGGATCTAAAGATAAAGACAGACTAAAGATAGACTTCTGTCAGAGGGCCCGGTGGCGCCAGTGTCCAGCAGCCTCGCCTCTGTCAGTGCGCCCCAGGGCGGCTGTGGCTACAATGTAGCTTGCAATCACCAGTGTGTGAATGTGTGTGTGAATGGGT